AAGGAAAGCTAGCTTTCTGAGATACCTGCAGATCCCTGAGAGCTACAGCACGACTTGCAGACTGCAGATCTCCAAGCAAGTCCGGATGCAGATTTGTTTCACACTGCAGTTTGAAGCTGCCCTTGCAGACTGGAGATCGGCGAGCAGCTCCGGTTGCAGAAATGAAGAGCCACTGCAGAGCTTAAAGCCCTAATTAGACATGAAGAGCCACTGCAGAGCTTAAAACCTTACCAAAAACCAGCCAGCCCCGAAAATTTCTTTAAATATGGTACCTTTTCTCCATACGAAATCCTGCGTAATGGAAACACATACAGATCGCCGTGAATCTCCCGAAAATTTTTCTTTAAATATGGGGAGGTTTAATAATCAAATGCTCGGATTAGGTAGGTAGGTAGGTAGGTAGGTAGGTAGGTACAGGCAGGCGGGCAGGCAAGCCGGTAGGTGGGCAGGTAGGTATATGTGTGTCTCTCGCTGTTTGTGTGTGTATATAGATATACACACATAGAGAGTATATATATATATATAGATATGCATATAGATGTATATATGTATGTATGTATGTATGTATGTATGTATGTATAGAGAGAGAGAGAGAGAGAGTGTGTGTGTGTGTCCAGGTTCGTTAGTGATCATCTAACAGCCATCGCACATTCGAGATGTAGGTTTTGTATTTCTAGGCCCACCGATGTGAAAGTCTGGACAACCGTCCCAACCCTAAACCAGTCCTATCAGTCTATAGTAATAACAACTATGACAAGGGTAAAAAACACTTCGTAAGAGCTAGACTCTAGACATAATAACAAATAGTTATACGATCATGTAGACTAACAATAATCAAGTATTGCTGATTGTACAGATTATAAATTATAAATGACAGTACGATTATATTACGAGAATCGCAACAATTACCGCATTAGTGACAACAACAACAACAAGCCGTGAGTTGTGCGGGCACATTACCCACGTCCATTGATTCAACAATGACGGTCACAATACTGAAAAGAATGGTAAGGCTTACATCGTCAGCCCGGTTAGGTCTGGAAGGATGAAGGCCCTGAGATCAATGCCTTCCTTTGCGCCGCCAGCATGGTACTAGTCGAGATCGAAGACATCGTGGAGGATTTCTTGGCCACCACTGGTGCAGTGTCCGGCACCCGGCTTCTAGGCCGCTTTGGTCTAGTGGTTTGTTGCTTTACAGCAAGGAGAACAACAACCCTCGTTGTTTCTGGGCTGCCGAGTATCTCAGGGCCAGCCCAGCTCCAGAGGAGGAGAGCTGGTACAGATCATGTGGGGGCTGGTATTCAAAGACGCGGCTGGTTCTTTTCAAGCTGCTGTGCCACAGCGACGACACAGCAGCTACTCATCCCCGTTTCGTGGTACGCAACACCATCTCGATCTGCCTTGCTTTTGGGTTGGGATGGGTTGGTCTGTGGAACACAATGCCCTCGTACTCTGCATACCCGGCCTCGACCATAGGCGTCATCGTGCAGCTATTACGCCAGAGCATGTTTTTTCTTCAATTTGGGTCTGATTATGTACGGTACGCGTGTTTTGCTTACAATCGTTGCGGCCGCATCTCAGGTACACGTACACAGGAGCGACACCCTCTGTCACCTTGAGGCGCTTGTCCGGGGTGGTGCTCGGAAAGGCTGCAGGGGCGATTCTACAACTCTGTTTGGCAGTCACCTGGTTAGAATTGGGGGATTTCCCAGCTTGGGGTTTGTAGCCGTGAGCAGTCTAGCAGCCTGGCAAGCGCCCTTCCAGTTTAGATGTGATCAGTTTGACCAACGAGGTCAAGAACGTGCTGTACGTTATCGCTTTCGCCATGTCGATGTGGCTGATCGTAGGCCTCACCTTTTTTCAATACATCCACTCGGAGGATGCCGTCGACTTTGCATACGTGTGCGGGCTCACTGCCGCATATGCTGCATCTAGCATGATTCCGTCCAACGGCGTCCTCCGCAAAGTGAATGAGAGAACCACGGACACAGTTCTTCCAACGTTGATGATCCTCGGTCTGTGAGTGAGGGTGACATACAGCAGTTGTTTGCAGTGCACCCGTGGGACCCGAACACCTCGTTGAGCTTCTGTGGAACCACACTGGTACTTCGTGCTACTTCTGTTCGTAATGGTTGCTACTTTGCAAAGCCATCATGAAAGACTAGAGTGACTAGTGTTTCGCAGACAATTTCACATGGAGCTAGCATGATTCGGGTGCCCGAGGAACACGATTCTGCAGACGCTCATCGGGATCGGGACCGGCGGGTTGACTCCAACGCATTGGCAGAGCTCATGTAAGGTCGTTTGAGAGCTTGCTTACAGGTCAAGCGGTTCGACTGCAATCAGAAGCCTCGATTGGCTTCAATGCAACCCCAAGCAAACGTGAGCCCTGTTGCCGTGCTGCCAGAATCATGCTGGTGGTGGATGCTTTATTGGCTTCGCGAGCCTCGAACCAGGCAGGAGTGGTCCGTTCATTGCTTTCGCAGACAGGGCTCTTTGAGGTTCTGAAATTGTTGAGATGCCCAAATCCACTACTGCTTAGGATCCATATCCTACAAGTATAAGACTATAGGAAACAGTTGCTTTGGAGTCTTACATACATAAATACACACATTCATACATACATACATACATACAGACAGACAGACAGACAGACAGACATAAGTACATACATGTGTCTGTGTGTGTGTGTGCGTGCACGCTCTTGTTTGCTTGTGCGTGTTTGTGTGCATGCAGACATAATGTGGCCTCTTCCCGCCATCCTCTTCTAATTCGTCCCTTTGCGCAAGATCGGGTCTGTGGCAAACAATGGGTCCTGTCCACTCCTGAAAGCTCGTACTAGTAGCTTCAGTACACACCCTACATTACAAGGACACCCTGGAAAGTCTGTTCTGCGGTATGGTTGTTTCATTGCCACGCAGCGTTGAGCCCAAGAGCATGCAACCCCTCTGAGCAACCTGCCGGCTACATCCCAACTAGTTGCTTCGACCATGGCAGGACAAGTTCTGGGGCCGGAAGACGAAAACTAAGAACCCATGTATGTATGTATATGTATATGTACATGTATATGTATATGTATATGTGTATGTATATTTATGTGTACGTGTATGCATATGTATATGTATATGTATATGTATATGTATATGTATATGTATATGTATATGTATATATGCAAACGCACATACATACACACATACATACATACATACATACATACATACATACATACATACATACATACGTTATACACACACATACATACATACATACATACATACATACATACCCACGTACATACATGCATACATACATACATACATACATACATACCCACATACATACATACGTACATACACACATACATACAGACAACTTGGATGCATTTGGCATCTTGCTGTGCGCGATTCGTGCAATCGTCCGCTGTAGTGTCGAAGTGGCTAACTTTATCAGAACAACCGCTACAGCCATGCGTCTGGACGTTGTGAGCCGCACGCATGTTGTGAAATCTTACACGGCATCGCGTGGGGCGAAATTGTGCGCGACCATGGACTGCATATAGCTTAAGACCCTCCGCGCCCATGTCCAGGCGCGACAGCGGCTGATGCGAGCATTCACACGGCTAATCCGTGGCGTGCGGGCTTGCAAAGAGCAGGGGATGTCTCGGGAGGACTGCTTAATGTGGCAGTTCCATTCGCAGGCTTAGAGTTGATTGTGGAGGGCGTGAGGGACTCGGGGCTTTTGTTGCGCAGCTTGAGATCAATCCATGACTTCTTGCTTAGCAATCAGTGTGATTTCCTTCCTTCCCTGACAGAACGCTGAAAATTTCGCGCGGGAGAACAAGGAGGCACCTGACAGGGCCGAAAGAGCCCCGTGTTTGGAATGGTTTGCGATGCTCAATAGACGTGAGGAGGCAACACCCGCATCTGCAACTCGAAACCAACGCCAACATAAGACCCGAAGATCCGGTCGCATTCTGTTTCTTGCGGAGACTCCTGAGCTTGAAAGTCCTTACACCCCAAAAGCTATCGCTATCGTGTATGATGAGAAGTGGACCGCTGGCATGGAAATTTGTGGAAGAGTCGGGAAGCTAGGAGAATTGGCAAGGTTCGGTTTGGGGGACGTGCCGTAAGGCAGATTCAGACACACCCATACCAAAGGTATGGTCTTCCGGCGGATCGCTGTCTTCCAGAAAAAAAACGCAAGTGCTGTTACACTCCACCGCAGATACTTCGAGTCATACCACAAGAACAATTTGTCTATAGACTACCTATAGACTCCGTTGTAGTTCCTTTTTGTGCTTGATATTTAGGACTTAGGATCCTATAAGGTAACCCCAAAAAGGAACTACAATGAAGCCTATATGGTAGTCACAGGATGTTACATGCTACAGTAGAATAGAATTAGCAACTGGAGATGTTCTACGAATGAAACCATGTGCTTTGGTATAACACAACTTACACTATTCTGTTGTGTTCCTAGCATGTACACCCATCTGATGTGCTATCACGTCATGCCTGTCTCTCTCTCTAGACACCAGCAATGCATCTTGTGCTTGCAGGCAACCGCTGGATTTCTCCAGGACCTCAATGCACTGAAAACTTTGCTGCCCTATGCAGCTGCAGAGACCACCTACTGGTGGGGGAGAGTGGGGGGGGGGGGGTGGAAATCAGTGATCGAGCATGGCACAGGTTGCTTAACCGCTTTAAGACTTATACTCTCGCTTGAAGTGTTCGGTAAAGCCTAATTAATGACCTTATGTGAGATTCGGAACCTTGCAGTGTGGTTGCGTGGGGTGGCTCAGGGGTGTCGTTGAGTGGCTGCCAAGCACAAAGGGTGCGATCTTCCTCAGCACAGGTTCATGAAGATAAACCCTAAACCCGAGAGACCCTAAACCCTAAACCCTAAGTGGGAGGGCAAAAAATCCCTATAGACCATAAACCCTAAACCCTATCGAATCTTGGAGATCTTCAGCTTGCAGCGTCTTTCGCGCAGAAGCGCAAGGGGAGCCGGGAGTGAAGCGAGAAAGGGTTTCTCTCGTAATAAATCATACGATCTTTGCACCGACAAAACCCGCAAAACTCGAATCCCTACCGTAAGTCCCCCTGAAACTTGAAACCTAAACCATTAAGCGGCACTAAAAGCCTGCCCTGAGCGAGCGTGCGAACCGAAATCCCTATACTATAGCCAAAACCGAACCCCTGCCCACAAGTCACAAGAAAGATCCTGTGCAGGTCAAAGCCCCTGAACCTGGCTCTCTTCGAGTCTCTCGAAGTTCACCTTCGCAACGTTGCATCTCATTCGGCGGCTCTCGTCCGTGCCTTTCAGTGCGCAGACCCTCGGATGACTCGATGCTTGTAGCTTTTCGTTCCTTCTGAACCCTAGACTTTACTATAATTCTAAATTCGGGCGCATCGTTTTTGAGGATTAAACAGAAGTGCTGTGATCATCGTGAGTAGGTCTTAGTTTGTTGATCCTACTGTTGCCACATGATCCTCCTGTTCAGCTGTTGGCTGTCTTTTTTTGTGGAGCCTCGCATGTAGATTGAACGGGTTCTGGGTCTCGGTGTCATCTACATGATATCATGATATCAATCAACACGGTGCATCCAGCATATCCAATTTTCCATGCACTGTGAACCCAGGCACTGCAGCCATGCAAAAGATGCGCAGTCGTGATTCGTCAAGTTGAACATGTATGTATGTATGTATGTATGTATATGTATGTATGTATATGTATGTATGTATGTATGTACGTATGTGTATGTATGTATGTATGTATGTATGTATGTATGTATGGATGTATGGATGTGTGTATGTGTGTGTGCATGTATGCATGTAACGCATATGCACCTATGTATCTAGGTACCTATGTGCGTTGTTGGTTGTATGTGTATCGAAAACATCAGCATGTGTATTTGTATGTATGTGTATACATATGTATACATATACATATACATATGCATATGCATATGCATATACATATACATATATATATATATGTGTGTGTGTATGCATGTATGTATGTATATATATATATGTGTGTGTGTGCACGTACATGTATATGTGTATGCATACACACATACGCATGCGCACAGGCGTGCGCAAGTATCCACCAACATGTCATTGTATGCATTGTTTTTAGACTTTACATACTGAGTTTGACCCCAGGTTCTGTGTTTTTGACAAGTTTCAAATGAACGGTTCTTACGGGGTGTTGAGATTCAGTAGTCACTCGCCACACGCCCATGCCAGTTTCGGGCGAACACCCTTGATTGCCAAGTTTTTGTTTGTCTTCGTGAGATGCAGAGCACTGTGAACCCCAACCCCCTACGGCCCTATGGCGCAGACCGAGGACCAGGTGCGGGTTTCTTCGCTTCCAGCCTGGCCTGCCTTGTACCGCTTCTTCCACCAGCAGCTGCTGTGCCGGGGTCGCGACGTCAGTTCTGGGTTCAGCTTCGGACTTACACGGTGTCAGGTCTCGAGGTTCGAGGTTCGGGGAGGAGGAGGAGGAGCAGTGGGAGGAGGAGGATGGCGTTTACGGGGAGCACGACGGCAGCAGCTGCGGCATGCTGCGGCAACGGTGACGACTAGTAGCAGTTATCTTTGCAAGATTGTTCGTATCTGCCCTATCACGAGGACAGGGTCTTCTGCCTTGCACAACGCACTGCTACTGCTGCTTTGATTGCTTCCTGTACTCTTTCCGAACCTGTTTGACGGAATGTCGATCCGCTTTCTGAAGGGCTGAGGGGGTATATCCGATATCCAGTAGCAAGCGAGTTCTCGTATAATCGCAGAAAGACGAGAAAGAGAGAGAGAGAGAGAACAAAAATCGACCTTAATTGGTAGTTGGCATTGGCACAGTGTGAGCCCCAACACTTTCCCGTCTACATCGCTCATGACCTCGGCCTGCATATATAATTAATAATGCCACATGCCGGCCGTTCCCCTTCTTGCAGTAAGCGACCTGTGCATCTACGCCTCTATGCCTGATGACAGCGGACATCTTTCTGCTCCCAGGCACAACTTGATTGAGATCCGCGACATCACGGAGGGTCTTCTGAGCTCCCACAGCGAGGATAGCAGTGGGCCAAAGTCGGCAAACAGTTGTGTCGACCTTGAACGAAAGCCAGTAGTAGATGCTCTTGTACCGAAAGCTCAAGCTCTTCTTCTGGTGGGGTGTGCCGCTGTAGGGCATCTGGCAGCGCTGCGTGCCAGATGCTGTCGATGCACACTCTCTCCTGTATTTGCCTGGATTTCTATGACATCGAGCGAACAGCACCGGGGAGTCGAATTTGATGTAACAGACCCACGAATGAAGTAAGGTTGGGTGTCCCAGAAACAGAGTTTGCCAAATTTGTGGGACTGGGACCACCTGGAAACATAGATGGGCTCCACTATAATTTGCCGTTGGTTCCAGTGGGAGCATAGAATAATGACAGGAGGCTCTTCAAAGCCACGGCTCTGACGGAAGAAACTCTAGAGGCCTAAACTCGAAACCCTGGCACTTGCAAGAAGCACAAAGAAGCTCTCAAAGCCAGGACAACTTGGAGCTCCAAGAAGTGCGACAGAGGTTGGCCGAGAGCCTGTACACCTTCCAGGCTACATGGCAGCCACGAAGCGAGCCTAATTGTGGGTTCCACAGAGAGGAGAGTCAACTTTTCAATTCTCCCTTTGCCATCTCCTGATACACACCTTGATATGGAGATGATAGTCACGCGGGCTGCCAGCATATACGTTCTTTGGAAAGCGCATGCCCTGTCCTGCGAGGTTGCTGAGAAGATGGCTACAAGGTTCACCACGATGGTCGCCAAGAAGCTCGGCCGAAGCTCCATGGTATGTAGTGTGTACGGCAGATGCAGGAAATCGCCGCCTCGACATGCACATCGTTGCTCGATATTGTCGTACTGGGGCTTCGATATTCTACACCTCGCACGCAAGGGTCATTCTCAAGTCAGTATCATGGCCAGCTTGGAATGGTGATGTTCAGTGCTAGTAGCAACAAGAACAGCACGCCCGATTAAGAAAACAGAACCAATTTGTCGGCTGATTGCTGTTTGTATGATGATCCTTCTACTGGCAGTGGTGGTCCTATCTAGACTTGTGCTATGATGTCTTTGTTGTCAGCACATTTCAATCCAAAACGGGCGTATTTAAAAAAAAAGTGAAGTGGAGAGATTCTATAGGCCCGGTGGAGTACTGAGCTCCCGAAGTGGAGCCTAAACCACCCTTAGCTGCATGGAGTGGCATTCACACAGTGTGTTTCTGTTTAGGGTTGATGGGCTTTCCTGCGATTTGCTTCCACAACGCATCGCTGACTTCCAGATACCTCGGCTTCAAGTCCCGTACGATTAGCTATCAGCCTTGTAAAAATCCCGTGCCAGCCCACCAAACACGCAAGAAGCTCGCCAGCGAACTCCCCGCCGCGCAAATGTATCTAAAGCGCTGTTGAACCGCATACCTCAGCAAACAAACCAAAACAAAACAGAACCAAGCAAGCTCAGACCCCAGACACCCTCAATCGATTTGACTAAATCCTGAACCGTTAAGCGTCAAAAGTTGAAGCCCACAATACAGCGACGTAGACTCTGACAACCTAAATCCCAAAGCTCCTCGCAAATCCCACCACAAAACCAAGCGCAGAAACCCGCATATCACACATCCCGTAGTTAAGTAATCGCCTGGTCTTACTATCATTATACCTGTGAGTACGAAGCTTTTAACTACTATGTAGTTATAGTCAGTAATGATGGCAAAAAAGCACACGAAACCACAGGAAAGAAAAGGGCCCCCGCACTGAACCATCCGAGCGAGCCGGGCCCAGCTCGAGCTCCGGCCTCGTCTCTCGCATGCGCCCTGGGCTGCAGACGTTTGCTTTTATTTGGGGGCTTGGTTTCTGATTCTTGTCACAGTGGCTGCAACTTTCATGCAACTCTTGTTGTGAGGGGGTTAGAACGAGTCTGATTTAGCGGTTTTTGGGTTTTTGACAAGAGCACAGGCACGGCCCAGCCTTGAAGTGGCCGAACCTTAGGGGCTCAGATAGTCAGAGGCCAGGCTCTTTTGCGGTTTTTTGTTTACGTCCCACGGACACGAGAGAGCCCTGGAGTCCTGGAGCAATGACAAACAAACGAATTGGTTTAGCTGTGCCTCATGAGGGACTTGAAAAAAGGGTGGGCGGCTGCCCTAGTCCCTCAACAAGTCCTGAAAGCACCCTAGGCCATTGGGTATGCACTCTGGCATTCACGCCACCCGGCAGGGTCTTGAAGGCCCCAGCATGTACTTCACAGGTGGTTGAGCTCCCGTGCTCATGAGGTTTTTCTCGATTCGGGCCTCCTATCGCACAGGCACCGTGTCTACAAGCAGTTCCTGCATGAAGAGCTCGAAGAGGACAGGTGCAAAGTCAGCGTCGGCCTAGGCTTACGGGCGGGTGAACCCCTACCGGTTGGAAAGGCATGCTTCGCATATGCTCACAGTGCCAGCAGAACTGCCAGCAGACAGCAGCTTCTTTTGTTGGGAGGGTGCACCTTGCCAACGATGCAGATAGGCAGGCAGCCCGAGAGACAGACATGCACCCAAGACCATTCATGCAGAATGTCACGTGCCTTCAAGACAAGTACTGCTGGGGCTTGGGTTGCGTCATACCCGGGGGTACAGTTGATTTGCCTCGTCCTTCTCTCCCGCCAGGACACCGACAATGTGTCCTTCAGCCACAGAGCCTCAGAAAAGCATCTTGAAGTTCTTAGAACCTGGCTGTCCGGATTGAAATTGCCGGCGTCGGCGGACTTGAATGATTGCTCCCCAAGGAGTTGAACTTCATGTAGTTGATGGCACTTGGGTTCTGAGATTTTGAAGGATCTTATCAGGCCGGAATGGCCCACTGTGCTATGGAGGGAACGGAAGGGTGTTCTAATATAGAGGCTTTAATAATTACCTATACTATTTACTATTTTGCGAGTCCCTTATTGTACTATTTTGCGGGTCCCTTATTATACTATTTTGCGGGTCCCTTATTATAATGATAGTATCTTATGCCCCAAAACTGTAGTCTTCTTCTGAGGCCCCGACAGTATCCTGCTTGGTTGGCCTCTTCAGTCCGAAAAGCTACCACTTCCCGAGCCTATGAAGTGGTGTACACTGCAAAAAATCGTGAACAGGAACACGACATTGGTGTGTGTGTGTAGATATATATGCACATGTGTATAATACATATATATATATACATACATGTGTATATATATATACATAGATATAGATATCTATACATGCATATAAATATATATATATATACACATGTGTACATCCATATATACACACACAAGAATCCTTACTTACCTTGAGAACCGTAGACAAGCCCTTAGGAGGCAGCATCGTGACTCAAGGTATGTCAGGCCTTCAAACTCTGTATGCCAGAGCCGAGATGGACTTGTCACCGCCTAGGGCCTCCATGGATTAGGGTCATACCTAACTTGATCTGATGTTCATGATGCCCATCTCCTTTGGGCTGAACCTAGGCACCGAGTCGGAGATGTGGCAGAGGAGCTGCAGGAACTGGCGGCTTGCTTGAGAAGCTTTCATCCGAAACCCTGGGCTGCGAAGAGGGGTTGTCAACCGCGAAACCGAAAGTAAACCAATGGCTAGGTTTGCTAGGGAATCCCAAACCCTCGACCAGAAACAACAACTTGTTCATACAGACTGGGCGGGGAGCCTTCTTTCAACGCCACCTGAGGAAGCCCATTCAAGCTTTGAATCTTTTTTTCGAGAGAACGGCAATGCTGAACCCAAGCCGCTTCTTTTTCAAACCATCCCTGACACCGATACGCCGAGCACAGATCCATCTTTGAGCCCAGGGACCTCCAAACTCAGCTTATGCCGGAAGTTGTCATATAAACCATATAGACCCGCCCCGGGGACTAGTGTGCGTGATTGCTGGGGGATGGCCTGGGAAGAGTGCGAACCCCGGGGCGGCACTAAGAGCATCTGCTCGATGAGCACCCCTCTCCCCGCCGCCAGTGCGCACTAGTGCGACAGTGCCGGTAGTTGCGAACAGTTGGCTTTCGGGGTACCATCCCCCGGGCTTGGCGGGTGCCT